TCTCTCACTCACTCACCCCTCACTCATTCATTCACTCAACCTCTCTTTCACTCCCTAAATTAATTGTATCTTCTCACTAAATCATTCTTTTTAAACCATTCCCTCACTGAAGTTCCATTTTCTTCAAGTCATTCACTAACTCACTCATCCTTCCTTCATCTACGGCCATTTTCAGAGATCCTGTTTTAATATTTATTTTGGGAATTTACCTGTTTTGACAAAACTATTTTTTTTATATTTTTCTTAATAATTACATTAAAAAAAAAAAAAAAAAAACGTAGCTGCAATTTAAACTTTAATATTCTCGGTTATCAAGAAGAGATTTCAAAATGAACGTCAAGGCAGTTGACCTGATTTTTCACTCCCCCCTCCTCGGTTTTCTCCATTCGTTTTAACATTAACTCTATCTATAAAAGAAAAGGCAGGATGTGTGTGTGTGTGTGTGTGTGTGTGTGTGTGTGTGTGTGTGTGTGTGTGTGTGTGTGTGTGTAACGAATGCACGGCCGCAATTTTCGACGGATTTGCACCAAAATTTACATGCACATGCTCCAAGTTAGCGGGAAAGGCCAGGATCGACATTGCATTTCCCAACTCCCATCTATAGTGGAAATAATCGATTTTGTCATGCTTCTATGGCAGTTTTCATGTAGTTTGCGTCCATTTTCCACTGGCCAGAGTGAGAGCATATCGCTGGCTGCCACGAATAGGCAGGAATATTCTATTGGCCAGCGTGAGATCCAACAGCTGACTGACACGAATGTTAACTAGCATGCTAGCATCCCAAAATATCGATAGCTGCATTCGTTACAAGTGGGGAAAATTTAAATCTGCATGGCACTTTACTCCAATTGGCTCATTCGCTTGCTTAAACTCAACGTTGATTCTGATTCCGCAGAACTGGGTTGGGTGTGAAAAAGTATTTGTGTTAACATTCTTTTTTCATTCAGTTTTTCCAGTTACTGTTACAAATTCATGACGGTCGTCTTCGAGTATAGAATCCAGAGGTTGGCAATGAATATTTCGGAGACAGTAGGAAAGCGTAGTTCAGGTTCGCAGTGTATATCGTAGCAGAGCGTAGTTCTTCCTTCTGGCATCTTCGCCTGACAAGTTGGCACTGGTCATTCCGGTAGGGTAAACAAAGATGGCCGCCTTTATACACAACGGATACAATGTTCAGCGGCTTCTGATTGGTCAACCTTCTATTGGTACACTATAAAGGGAATTGTTATTTTGACTAACTCACTAGTTACATAACGTATATACACAAAAAACTGTAACAGTTACAAGTCCTTTTTAAAAGCTGATCGTTTTGTGTTCATTTTGTTTAGTTCTTTTTTCGTAACAGATTTAATGTTTAGTATAGAGCTTAGAAAAAATTCGCAGTGTGAGATAGGCAAGAAGTAAGGCACGTAGCAACATCAGCACGGCAAAAGGCACTCCTTTAAAGGCAAGGAAGGGCAAAAATATTTTAAGTCAAGTGATAGCGATTGCTGTATGTGTCGTATGGTTTTTGAATCAAGCACGGGCAACGCCGGGCCATGCTGCTAGTTTTTACTAAGTCACAAGATTAAGTGTGTATGTGCGTGTGTGTGGCGGGAGAAAACTAACTTTTCCCATCAATTTTTTTTTAACTTCGTTTCTGAAAGTAGAAAAAAATGTATCTGAGTTCTTTCTACTCCCGTGTCTCTTCAAGATATTGACGATCATGCCTCTCCACAATTTCCTTATCTTTGCAGCTCTTAATAAATTTTGTCTTTTTATTATTCTCCTAAACTCTCTTCTGAGATCCATTTCCACATGCTCGTTAGGTAGGTTGTGTGTTGTTTTTCTCTGTCTCTCTCGCCCTCAATATATCCTGTGAGCGTCAAATTTTCCAAGCCCTCTTTCCTCATTATGTGCGCTAGAAATTTCAGATATCTTTTACTTTGTTTGAAAGACCCAAAACTGCCCAGCGATTCAAATAGGAACATCACTGACGACGCCCTCTAGCGCCAAAGGGCGTATATTCAAAGTGGTTCTGGTGCCTTTTTTGTTTCCATTTTCTCCAAAACATCGTCGTTGGTCACATGTACTGTACATGTCATTTTCAGCATCTTTCTGTAGAACCGCATTTCTCTTGTTGATTCAAGTCTCTTTTTTTCATATGTGGGGAGATTATTTTCCATCATTTACTGCCATAAAGAAGGCATTATATTACATAAATGTTCAGTATTCTTTTTTTTGTTCCTAACAATTTTTTTTTCTGATTCGTAACACCTTGCTTATCTTTTGGGAAGCATCACTTGCTATCCCAATGCGTCTTCGTATTTCGGTGTTGTACATTCCGTCTTTTGTTAAAAACACTTGCTATCCCAATGCGTCTTCGTATTTCGGTCTTGTACATTCCGTCTTTTGTTAAAAACACATGCTATCCCAATGCGTCTTCGTATTTCAGTCTTGTACATTCCGTCTTTTGTGAAAAACTCTTCCCAGATATTTAAATCGTCTGCCCTTGCTTGAT